TTAAATTAAATAATGAAAGAATTTTTTTTAAAAAAAAAAACGGAGAAGTGAAAAGAGAAAAATTGTTGAAAGAAATGAAAATAATCATTTTAACCAATGACTTATTTCATTTACAATTACATTCATTTCCATTTTTTTCTTTTTTTTTTTTTTGTAAAGTAAAAATTAAAAAGGATAAATGAATAATTATCATTGTTAGCATTAGCTTCATCTTTTTCCGTCTTTTTTTTTTTTTTTTTCTCCCATTTACAACATTGAAACAATATCATTCATTATTGTTAAAATGTTATGGGAAAAATTTTTTTTCTTTTTTTTTAGAAAAAAAAAAAATTTGGAAGAAAATATTTAGTAGAGAAAATTTCTTTGAAACAATTTTATTAAATTCAAATATTTCATTTGATTTATGGATAAGTTATTAATTAGTTTTTTGTATTTTTCATATTAATTAATTTTATATTTTTCTTATACCAATAATACTATTGATTTAAGGGAAAGAAATAACGGAGAAAGAATGAATTTATTATTTGATGAAATCTTTTTGATCAAATAAATAATTAATTAAAACTAATTTGATTATTGTTTAAGGAACAGAAAACAAATTCATTACATACAATAAAATGATAACCTATATTGTAATCATTTCAAATTTTTTCTACCAACCTTTTTCATGCTAATTAAATTTGATTTTATCTTTTGCACAAATTACTAGCATCATATATGTTACTTTTAAAAGGTTATTAAAATTAAATTTACAAAATTCATAACTTATAGATGGAAATTTTTTTTTCCACTAAAAGATGTAATTTGAAGAAAACCATAATTAATGATGATAGAAGTTCAATATGAGTTTGCATACCTTTCAATTATTTATTCAAATTAAAGTAAATTTGAAATATTCCAAAAGCATTTCATTAGAAAATAAAAAGTGAAAAATTCGGAAAATTTTGCAAGTTTAATTTGAAACTTTCAAATTTTTAAATTGATAAATGAAAGAGATAATTAGATGATATCTTTTTGGTCAAGAAACATTAGCAATAATTGGAATGTATAATTAAACAAAAACTGATAATCGATTAATCATCGATGAATTAGTATCCTTATCATCACCATCATTATCATCATCAACCATCATTATCATTATCAATTCTATCTGTATTCAATTATCACTATAAATATTTATATTCATTAATATAACAATTATTATAACATATTGTAAATATTGTATTACTTTATGTAGTCTCTATGCAATAAAACTTATAAAAAAGTTTACATGCATTTTTTATACTTTCTTTTTAATCTACAAAATATTTTAGATTTAAAAATTTTTTTGAAACACTTTCATTTTCATTCATCCTTAAATTTCATTATAGCTTATCATGCACTATAATTTGGTACAATTGTAATCAATTTTATTTTTTTTTTTAAATTTTTTTAAAAAAAAATTAGCGAAACAAAAAAAAAATTAATGCCAATTTTAAAATTCGATTGAATTTTCGCGTATCGGTGATTGAAAAAGCATAAGCTTCCTTTTTTTTTTTTATCAATGAAATTTAAAGATTAACTGAATCATTTCTTTCCATCTTTTGATTTTTCCCCAATTTTGTATAATATTTTAATTTTTTTTTTTTAAATAAATGTATTCTTATATTCTTCTATTTTTAATTTTTTTAAATAAATGTATTCTCATATTCGTCTATTTTTAATTTTTTCAAATAAATGTATTCTCATATTCTTCTATTTTTAATTTCATTAAATTACATTTATACCTAATATCTTTCTCTTTCACCATTCCCTTTTTTCTCAACCAAATTAATCATTAACAATTAATAATAATTACATTAACATATTCATTATCAATTAATACAATCATTTGAAAAATTTTTTCTAAATTATAATTTTTATCCAAAATAATTACATTCAATTGAAATATTATTTTTATTTAAAAGTACAAATAATTAAAAAACGAATAGAAATTGTTTCAAAATTTAAAATTTAAAAGAAAAAAAAGAGAAAGAGAAG